TAAATAACAGCCCCTTCCTCAAAGAGTTTTTATTTTGATTAATGAAGGAAGTTATGTAGAATATTTATTTCATATCAAATATTTATGCTATTTTAAAAGGCGTTTTTGACTATTTCCTTTTGAATTAGATTCTCATCCTAGATGCATGGCAGGCTTTGTTGTGTGCCTATGGTGAGCTGCATCTAGTCCCCAACAATGTGGAAAGAGCTGTCTGCTTCAGTGTTGGTGATGGAGGTAGGGGATGAGGAGAGTGGAATGGCACCTGTGTTGAGGATCTGTGTTTAGTACAATCTGCCTGCTGGAGCATAGCTATTTCTTCCTCTTCAGCAGGAAGTGACAATCAGTAAACAGAAGTGCAAACATTAGTCTGAGAATTGGAAGACTTAAGTGTTAGAACGATGAATCAGTACCCTGAACTGAAATGTGGGGCTAAATTGAGGTACATTTTGTTATTATTGGAGTGCTTCATACACATTCTATTAGTTTCAAATAGTTCTGTTCCCAGGCAGTACCCTAGTAACATTAAGGTAAATTGTTTTAAATGTTTCTAAAAGTTTGCAGACTTCCATAAGAGTGCATATTGACAGAGTAAAAATAAATGACTGAAGTGCATTGGGGAATGTCTGAGCATATCCTTTTCTTGATATCACTAATGACCTACATATTACAGAGCACATTTTGCTGCCCAACAGAAAGAGCACAAGTCTCTTGTCTAATATCCATGAGTTAATTGAGAAGGCAAATTTGGAGTCTCCACTGGCTAGGATAGAACCTAGTATAATTAGGCAACACAGGAAACCTCACATGTGCAATATAATGAGAACATAAGGGCTCATGTACTAGCACAAAAAGAACATTTAATGGCCTTTGAGATCTTCAAGCTCTCAGCAATTATTAACTAAAGAGAGCCTGGCCAGTAATTTCTTAAAAATAAAATGCCATCGCCTCTACTCCACGTCTGGCCTCTTTTGTGAATGCACTATTGTCCTAAGTTAGACTCCAGGAAGTCCCTGGTCTTTCACTGCTTAGTAACTTTAGATACTGACTCCAGCATTATTCTCATGTTCAGGTATATTTTGTTTCTTATTTGAAACATTAGTTGAAGTATCTACCTGTTTAAAATTATACTCTTAATCCCATATGCACATTGGGCCTGCTTTTACTTGTAGAACAGGATCTCACGAGGGTAAGAATTGAGTGGTCAGAACTTCTGAACTGCCCCGTGTTTTCCCTTGAGCTTGAGCTGAGGGAAAAACACACAAATGTGTTTGCAAGGAATTTATGTTCTTGGGACATAAGTTAATCGTGGATATGAGGGAAAGTCATCAAGGCTATCTATGATGCTTGGGTGAAAACAGTATTCGTGACATCACATTTTAAGTAAAATCAGGTCAAATGTAAATGTCAAGAAGAGCCCAAGTTACTTCTGAAAATATTTAAACCGCTCACAAAGGGATGATATGCATGATTGAAAATTATGCATCTGAGTTGTTTTCCAAACAATGAAAACAAGGCCTTGTGTCTTCAGTTGGGTACCGATGAAATTCTTTTGTTAGATTAGCAGCAGGGATTTTTTAGTTTTTATGTAAAGACTACATTTAGAGAAAGGGCTAAAAACCGTATATATTGGCAGGCACATTGTATTTTACACTGTCTGAGGTGTTTGATTCACATCTTCCATCTGAGGCTTGCTTTGCTCACTGTGAGACAGAAGTTTATTCAGTACAAGAAGGCAGAATTCTTATACTACTAAAGTTCCTTCTCTCTTTTGGGTTCTTTTATCCTTCTCTTCCTTCTCTCAAACAATATTTTCCTTATCCATTGTCCCTCAATTTTAAAATATAAAAATCTATACATTTCTAAGCAAAGAAACAAGATACACCATGGTAGCCATTGTTGTTTTTCCTATTATCCTGATTTGAAGTTCAGTACCAATTTTACTGATTTGTTTTGATTAGATTTATTTTGTTTTGTTGGATTTTATTATATTTAAAATAAAATTAAAAATTAAAAAATTTCTAGGTAGAGTAAAAGAATATGGCATGTTCTTAATAATTTTATCTTCAGAAAAATTACATTTTCTAAGATTAAGAGAAAGGTCAAGGGAAGTAACTTCCATGGAACTTTTAGAGTTATCTTTTAACCAAACTTGAAACTTTACTGTATGCTTAGTTATCAGGATACAAAGCCATCTCTAAAGGTATTCACAGTTGCAAAGGTATCACAAAGGGCATTTTAGAAGGATCAAATGACACCAAGTCTTCCTTGAGCAAAAGGAACAACAGTGTTTCTATTTACCACCACACACATAACAGACCAGTGAAATTCATCTAATTTCAAAGAACACTAAATAATCAAAGTTTTTTGGGGGTTGTTAATTCCTATTTAGCATTTGGATCATTGAGAATTATATACTGAACCAGAATGATTGGAGAAGGATAATATTAATCATTTAATTCATCAAAGAAATTTAATATTTAAAAGATGGTTTTGAAGTGAAAATATTTAGAGCATAGTGTTACAATTCCCAATTTAGAAATTAAATTTAAAAAATTTTAAATCAGTGGTAGTTAACTAACTAGTAGAAATAATGTTGAAATGATTTTAGATTCATGGAATTTTAATAAAAGCATTAATGTGGAAATGCTGAGATCAGTTTTGTGAGAGTGATCTATTGGGATAAAAATTAGGTAAAAAGACTGATAGGATATCTTGATTATTCTGTGTATTTTAAATTTCTTACTAGGAAAAGAATAGGGGTTAATTTTTTTTTTTATACTCTGGAGTGTTTTTTTTAAAATGTATTTTAAGCTGGATACATGTTTATGTCAGTAATTATTTAATAATCACCTACCTATTTTACCTTAAGGAAAATAAAATGCAAAAATCTCTGATTGTCTGTCACTTTTTGTGGTACAAGTGTTTTCACTATGCCTGATTTCAGCCTACTAATGTGGGACTAATGGGTGCAAGGTTGAGAAGGGTTACACATAATAATACCCTCTAGTGAACCACTGAGAGTCAGGTCTACACTACCTTTGCTTGTGTCTAAAATTACAGCAGGAATCAGTGGTGACTCGGTGAAACACCTTACAATACAAACTTGAGAAGCAGTGCTCACCAGTCAGCTGGTCAATTAATTCTCAACATCAGAGAATTAAAAACCTAATAGTTTAAAATATAAAAGGAGGAGAAAAGGATTGAAGGAAGGGGAGTGGAATGCTAAAAAAAAAAAAAAAAAAAAAGAAGCAAGGTATATCATGTACAAATACAAATTCCCTATGATGAATATGATTATTATGTATTTCTAAGAGGTGTCAATCAAATTATACAAATATGAATCTCACTGTACAGATTGTATAAGGTGCCATGGTTTTAGACAATATTAAACAAAAGAAGCAATATTGGTTAGAGATATAATCTTACTTCTTATCACGTCATTTCTTATAAAAAATAAACATCTATAAGGATACTCTTTTAGATGTGTCAGTTCATTTCATCTTCAACCAAAAACTGGGTTATAGGCGAGAAAAATAAGGTACAAAGAAGCTGTTTACTCACAGTCACCCTGTGGTACACGGTAGAGCAGGGTCTAAAAACCCCAACATAATCTGTCTCCAGAGCAGCTGACTTTAACTAGTCTGCACACTGCCCCTAAAATTGCTTAGAAAGAAAACTACAATTAAGATTTAGTGTAAAGCTAATAATATCAGAGCCAGATTTTTCAATATAGGCTGAAAATATAGTCTAAAAAAGGAATTGAAAGAGTGAGTTAGAAGATCAATAAACTTCACTAATAAAGGCCTTCCTTAATTTCACCTATTCTGAAAGAAACAAAAGTTACTATCAAAAAATTATCGAGTGAAACTTTTACTTTACTACAGTAATATCTTTTGTATAATATATATTAGTTTATAGAGATTATTGTTACTAAAAAATTCTAAGTGAAAACTTGTGGATGCATGATTTGTTAATCACTTTAATTTGTAAATTTGTAAGAGAGAATAAAGAGATGCAGATAATAATTAAGCAACACCTCAAAAGAAAAACCAATTGGCTTTAGAAAGCTGAAGAAATTCCTCATTATTTCTACTATACGGCTTAGCCAAATTTTCTCCAGAATCATTAAGTAATACTGGGCTGAGCTGTCCTTTGATTTAATCTGCTGATGTAAATCCTCCTAAATCTCAACCAAAGCCGCTAAGAAGAGACTGTTTGTTTATACACAGGATATGAAATCCTTCATTCATAACTTAGATGTGTTACTGTGAGAAGTCAGAAAGTTTACAGCAGCCTAAGCATTAAGATGAGATTTCTAAGTTTCTTTTTCTTTCTGGAATGTTCTTCTTTTGGTTTTTCACAAAGGGACAGTTCACACATCATATGGTTCTGCTTTCGTCTTCTAGAAGACTCTTTAAAATATCATCTCTGCCTGACTTACTTTCTATACCATTTATTTGCTTTATCTTATAATAAAACTTCCTATTGCCTAATATTATTTCTTCGCTTATTAACCTGTTTAATGTCTGTCAAGCCTACTGGATAGAGGTAGGGCTTTCGTCTGCCTTGTTTATATTGTGAACCTCATTAAATGGTGGAAGCTCACAAAATATTTGTGGAGCTCAAGCTAACTCAGTGAGGGAAGGGACTGGTTTTATGATGTTTGGAACCAAGGTGGTGTTTGTTATGGGTAATGCACCCATATTAATATCATCAACTCATGCTTCATTATTCATTCAAGGTTTATAAAAAAATTATTTCCAACAATACAGTTACAGTAGGATTAGTATTCCATCTGAGAGGCCAATCTAGCCCACAATCTATTGAAAAAAAAAGTTTTTCCTCTAGTCTCATTAACTATATATACAGTAATCATGTTTATATTGCCTTGGGGGATTTGAGAGATGGGGAGTAAGTCATCTGCAGGGTTTTTATGCCATTATATGTTGTAAATTATTGAGGACATTGCTAATTACTTTAATAAATATTTGTGCACTGACCTTTTTATCCCTTTGAATGTTTGTGCATGACCTAAGAATTTTCCAAAGTCGATATGAAACATGTGCCCTGACTTTGTCAGCATGATGTTGTCATTGTGGCGATCACAAACTCCCAGGATGAAGGTTACCACGCACCAGCCAGCACAGGAATAGAAAAAGTTCCGTAAGGCCTAATTAATTAAGAAACAGAAACACAAAAATAATAAAAAAAGGGAGAAAATGTATTAGCATCAGGGGTAATGGCAAATGTAAAACAGAAAAGCAAAATTACACAATCAAGAACAATTTTTACAACTCAGTGGAAAGATGGGTATGAATATGTAGCTCGTCTTGGTATGAGACTGAAAAACCATGAAACATTTGGTTCTTTAGTGCTGCTTTTCATTAAAATTGGGAGAAGTATCTCTCATTCATACGGAGCTAATTCTCATGATTTATTGTAGAGGATTCCTGGTGTGATTTTTTGATGCCTCAAATATGCAACAATGAATGTTTGCAAAGTAAAATAGGAAAAAATAGGGAGTCTAATATTTCCTTTCCCTAGAGGCAACATTTAAAATATGAATTTTTACTGTGCCAAGTGGGGAGTCTAAGGCAGTAGAATCACCATGATACCCAGGCTGGCCTGACTGCACACTGAGCTCAGGTTCAGCCTGAACTCTATAGTGATACCCTGCCTCAAAAAAGAGAAAAAAAAAATTTAATCTTTAAATTTTTCAGACAAACATCTATATCGAGAAACTTGTAATATTCAGATTTTTCCTTATAAATAGGATATCCAGTTGGTGTCTGAAGTGTTTTGGTACAGTATGTATCAGTGAATGCCTGAGTTGTAAGAAAAGGATTAACACTAAGTTGATCATGGCATATGTTTCTTATAATCAGTTCCTTTCTCAAGCTATTCTTTGGTTCCAAAATGGTCTCCTAGTCATATCACAAATCACTTATATCAGCCCAATGGTGTAACCATGCACAATTGGTGTGGCTGAGGATACAGGGCTCATGGAGTGGCAGACCGAATCCCTGGAGTGGCCGCCTGTGTCACTTTATACACCAAGATGCTTGGATACCTTAGTTCTAGATTTCTCAAGTGCTTGAGCAAGTCACTTGACTTGTCTGTTTAGAATTTCTTCACTTACAAATGAAGATAAAATATACTCTGCACATGGTGGTTGTGAATAGCATACGTGGTTGCACCTCAAACCACATCAAAAGGGGAGTTTGTGCAAAATTCAAGTTGTTTTTAGGTACTCCTGTTACTTTTGGGTACAGCTAAAAAAGTGAATTTAAAGATATTCCTATCTAATTCTTTCAAATCTGGCCTCAAGAATTAAGGAATGAATAAACTCTTGGGTTTCTTTATGATAGTCCATGCCTCCTACAATGAGCAATCGTCCGTTTGCATAGGTTTCAGGAGCTTCTCAGCATAAAGGAATTTCACTGCATGCGACTGTTTCCAGCAATGTTCTCCACTCTAATTTAACTATTATTGTTCTTTTGTGTGAATCAGCATACAGATGCTTCTGGGTCTTGGTAACCTATCTCTGACAGTTCATGGCTTGGCAAGTAGAATAAGCCACACTTATCCCTTCTTCCGGGACCCCTGGTATATATAGGGAACAAGCTATGCAAATGTACAAGGCAGGTCAGATGTCAAATCATGTTTGCAGTACATTTTGTAAAAGTCATATAATACACACAATTATTTTGCAATCCGCAAACCACTTGAAGAATGGCAGATGAAAAGTAAAACATAGCAGAAAAAACATTTAACAAAGAAGAAGGGTTATTTAGAGAAACAAGAGGTTGTGTATAAATAGGTGGAAGTTACTTGAAGTTTGAAGGGGAATCACCTCTGGGAAGATGGCTGTTAGGGAGGCAGCTGAGCAGAGAGATTCATTACTGATACCCTGCAACTTCCCTCACAAGGAAATTCTAACGCAGAAACTTCTATCCATTTAGAATGCCATTTAAACAGTCATTATTACTAGTCTGATGACTAAGTGATATTAGAACTCAAGGTGTACTTAATTTACTTTCCCATGAATCAGACTAACTAATGAACCACAGCATATTTAAAATTAGTTCTGGCACGACAAACCTTTTCATAATCTGCCTTTATGTGATTGTGCTGACTGAACCATTTTTTGATTGTATTTTCTTTCAGTGGTCCTATGAGTCCAGAATGGCGATGGATCTTTGCAAGGGTTACAGCATCAGGAACCATCTGCACCAACCCTGGTTGATAAAAAAGAGATCATGGAAATAATTCCTTCTTCACAGCAAGAGGGACACTTAGGAAATACATCTTGATCTCAGCAACAGCAGTAATTTTCAACACTACTAAGATCCCCTTTTCCTTTCCAAATCTATTTTTTTTTCTATAGAAGACTTATCTAGATGGGCTTCTTCCTAAATCTTGTGAATTGATGCAGCTGTTTATTGGGTTTTAGTCCTATCTACCAGAAGTTGCCTTAAATATTTGTTTTAGGACACTGATGAAGAACCACTCTAAATGTCCCCACGTCACCAGAGGAGCGGGGCAATTGTCATATTGCTGGGATGTTCATTTACAGTATAATGGAGGACACTGCAGCTTGTATGACAAACACATCTCTGACTTCAGTGAACCAAATGCATTTTCCACAATGAACATTTCAAATACATCATAAAAATCAATGTTCAGGTTCATAAAATCTTCCCAATTGAATGTAACATTTCTGGAAGTTCATGGAAAACTCTGCAGGAAGTACATAGGGAGTCATTTGCTCCTTCATTCCCAGTCAATATTAAAGAAAAACTATACAAATATGTTTTATGAGGCAGCCTATATTGATTAAACTTAAGTAAGACCTTTATTCCAATGGTTCCATCAAAGCTTTTTTTTATGTATTCCTAAAATTATTAGCATTTTGTATTTTAAATCTTTCTGACTTTTAACCTATACAGAAAAACAACTCAATATAAGTACTCAAAACTCTTCTAGGATGAAAGTCCTAAAACAACCCTCAGTGCATATTTTGATAAATAAAATCATTGAAATAGATTAAAATCTAGAGTGCCTGATTTTCACAGCTAGTACAATTACAAGAGTTGCAAACTTAAATACTCAGAGGAGCTAGAGGCACAAATATAACTATGAATACAGTGATGGTTGAGTTTTAAAATGTTGAAAAGTTTTTGAACACTACATATCCAATAAGGAATACAACCTAGTTTTTTAAAAATGACATTTGTTTTATAATCTCTATTTGTCTCAAAGTTTTTTGTCAGTATAATACCCTCTAAAATCCTACAACTATAAAATGTTTTAGATAGAGGAAAAATAACTTTGCTTATGAGGTCTGCAACTTTGGATAAGCCTATAGTCATTTTTGCTAAGTTTTCAATAAATTTAAAGGATGTTCATTCAGTTACAGTGTGAGATTGTAAACAGTTACAAGTAGTTGAAATTGAAGGATTCCATTGGAATTAGAGGTTTATTCAATTTTGGAAGAAAGAGTGATCCATGTAATGTCCAAAGGCTCAGTGTGGATTATTTCGCTTTATTCTTACTTTTTCAGTGTATTAGGCTGTGGGAGAACTACGACAGTAGGTGGAAAAGGAAAGGCAGAACACATTGAATAAGACTTGCATGGTAGCAATAATAAAATATTTTTTTCATGGGCACTAGAGCTTTAGAAATGTGTGAGATACTTGGCATTGGACCAAGAGCCCTACTATCAGAATCCAAATGATTAGGTAGCATTTTATAGAGGAATATTGTGATGTACCAAACTGCAAGTTAAAGTAGCTGGCAAATGCATGAAGATTTGCATCTAACATCTCAACTCACAATTGGCTGGGGCACTGAATCTGCCGGTGAAACCTTAGGATTGAGAAAGCGAGAAGAGACAGTTCTTTTCCATGACAGGTTTAAACTATACTTCTACTTGAACTTAAAATATAAAGTTGAATACTGAGTCTAGGTCCTTTTCTAGTTTCGTAGTTTTGTCTCTTTGTTTATCTCATGTATCTCATGTCTCTGTGTTTATCACATGTATCTCTATAGTTTTGCTAATTAATTGAATGAAATTCTAAGTCATAATGATCATATGCAAAAAAGATTATGATGCTTTAGGAATTATTGTTCCTTCAATTTACCATGATTGTATATGACTGCAATTCTTATTTGATGTTTTGGTCATAATTTGAATGGGCCACTGATAATACTTTTATTGGAAACATGCATAACTGTAATTATATTTCCACATTAATATTACTGACTTTTGTAAAAGAAAAGAAATATTGAAACATGTTCAACATTTACATGTGTGGACATTTTTTCCTGTTGATACTGTACCTTTTCAAAAGTCTTTTAGAAATTAAATGCAGGTCTATAATATGTTTAGAATTTTCTGAACTTTGATACACATTTGAAAATATGTAAAATTTTTGTTGATAGCCAATAACTGTATTTTTTAAATATTTGAACATTTCCATTGATTCTCAACTTAGCAACTGTTCGACTTAAGAGTTTTCCAATTTATTATGAAACAAGCGTGAAATGTATTCAACAGAAATTGTACTTCAGATGTTAAATTTCGATCTCTTCCTTGGCTGACAGTGTGAAATACGGTATTCTCTTGTGAAGGCAGGCAGAAGTAGGAGGCCACAGCTCCTTGACAGCCTCACGATTATAAAGGTATACAGTGCTACTCCGTGTATTCTGCTGCTGTGCTATGCTGCATGGAGTGTTAGATAAATGCATTTTGACTTACTATATCTTCAGCTTATGATGGGTTTATCAGTATGTGACCCCATTGTGAATTGAGATGCATCTATATTATTTTAGAAAAGTGAGAACAATAGAAAAATCAATCATTAATGTAACTATTCATGAAAAAACATAAAGGAATAACACAGTTCACACTGGTCCTAATTGCTATCTAAAAGTTTATGATTCTCCTAAATTTTTTGCATATCATTTTGGAAGTTATTCTTTTAGAAGGGAAGAATTGGTATAGTTTCTTTGGTTGGACTTTTGAATTTGTACTCTGAAATGAATACTGTAGAAAGTTTACCAGTGAACGTGTGAGATAAGCAATACATGTCAATTCACTTTTTAATCTATACTGACCTTGGTTTTTTCCTGTAGACAGACATCTATAAATGATCATTTGCATATCTAGACCCTCCTGTAGCCAAATGTTGTCTATCACTTGAATAATCTGTAGGACAAGCATATCCTGGCGAAGATCATCTCCAGTCTGTTCAAAACAAAATGAAAAGCTCTGGTTCCTCCTTAAATGCCATTCAAACCGTTCAGATGTACATGTCATTTCTTTTCTTGAATAAATTTCCAACCTCATTTAGGATGGTTTCACTTGTTTCAGTAGTACTAAGAATACCTTATGTTTCTGACAGACGATCAAAAAAATAAGAACTTCCCCTGAAATGACTTCAGGAACTACAGCCCTCAAATTAGAAGCACTGCTTGGAATGTTGTCCCTGATAATGGTCTTTCAGTATCATCCACGTGTAATTTCTTAGTCTAAAAGTCTAGTGAAGAGAAGCAGATGTTCTCAACCTACAGATATCTCTTCCTGTGTAAAGATTATCAAGTATGGCAAAATCTTATCCACTGATGTTCTGTTCGAACATCAAGAGTTCTTAACTAAGAATATATATAGCATATATATGATTCAGCAGACTGTGAGTCAGTGATTTCTCCTATTTTGGAGGTGGTCTCCAGAAAAAAAACTGTCTTTGACAATAAGAAGAAATGATAAAGAGGTAATTTTCTAACAGAGGTGATAGAAATACAAAATGTCCAAAAAAAGCATTGTTCTATACTTTTAAACAAATAAGCGGTTTGATTTTAAAAACATTTTCTAAATTAAGCATGGAATATTTTGCCATGGTAACATTTTGTGGCTTTTTTCTCCCTTTGTACATACAGTAGGAAGGCAGTATTAAAGCTTTTGGATACACCAGTCAAAGTAAAAGTGGCTATATTAATCCTTGTCCTCAAAAATAGAATCAAAGTTCATAGAAATTTACTTTGAGTCCTATTAAATAATTGACAAAATAAAGAGATGATTGGCAAGTCTTACTGTTTTACTACAGCTTCTTTACTAATTCCTATTTGTTTCATGTTTATAATATATTAAATCACTTTACTCTCATTGGAGTTTTCCATGGATTCGAGAGTAGGATGAACTGGTACCATTTACTTTTCATTTACAAAGAAAAAAAAGACCCAAATAACTAAAATAAACAAACACTTGGAGATAAAACATTTTATGTTACACTAACATGCTTTTTGAGTTCCAACCAATTTTGACCCTAGTTCAGTATTTAGGCTGAAGGAAAGGTCCTAAGGGTCTTAAGTCGCATTCCATTTTTCATGACAATCAAATGTTATCATATGCTTTTATTTCTTACACATATTAAGCTTTTTGTTTTTTGTTATTTTTTTTTTTTTGGTAGCGGGAATTGAACTCAGAACCTCGCCAGGCAAGCACTGTGTCGCTGATCCATATTCCCAACTCAAACATATTAAATTTTGTATCAAAGTCTTCCTTGCTTTGAGCCAGTAATGTTTGATTTATTGCCAATCCTAGTTTGGCATGCATTATAATTCTATAAAAAGGCAGAATCTGAAAGAAGTGGGAAACCTCTGTGCTTTTCCAAAGGAAAATAGCTGCAGTCATTTCGTTCTGTTATTAATAAATCAATAGTTCTGCTAATGGAATCAATCCTATGTTTTATGAGTGCTATTGTACCTTAAAAATAATGCTGATGTTTGTGCCCATCGGATTAGCATTGATGAAAGTAATCTTTAATGGCAAAGCATTAGATGTGAAATATGAACATGCCTGTAGGAAGATAAAAAATGGTGAATAAAATATACCAAAAATAATATTTCTTTCCCTGAAATCATGGTTCTTTGCAGAATTTGTTACTTGAGCAAACACATACGAATACTTTGGAACAACGAAACACATTTGTTAAAAGCAGACAAACAAATTTCAGCCTATCAGTTAAAGTGTTTATAGCAGTTCATTTTTTTCCCATCATTTTGTTTCTGCAGTTTCAGTTACCTTCAGGTGACCATGATTGAAACTATTAAATAGAAATTCCAGAAATCAATAATTCATAAATTTTAAGTTGCACATCATTCTGAGTAGTATGATGTGCACTTGTACCATCTCATCCATCTTGCTCAGTAGGTGAATAATTCTTTAGTGCAGTGAGTCCACACTGTATATGCTACCTGCCTATATGTTACTTAGGAGCCACACTGGTTATTAGATTGGCTATATTGGTACTATATTGTAGTTCTTGTTTTCAACTAACCACTTTTCAATGCATAATGGCCCTAACATCCAAAAGTCTTAATGCTGTAAATTTTATTGCAGGGCATTATTATTTCATTCTATTTATTTTTAGTGATTATCATTAATCTCTTGTGGCTAATTTATCATAGATATGTATTGGGATGCAAATATTTATCTGTAATTTTTCCTCAGTAAGCAATAGTGAGAAGTTTAAGGTCTAAATAAAATAAGCAATATGCAGATGTTACGTTTATGAAAGTTGGTTAGTAGATGAAAGTTAAAAATGCTATTTCCTTACCATAATTTCTGCTCCATGGCACACTTGAAGGAAACACGGATACAGAGTTAAACAAATAAACAAAAAAAGACCTGAATTCAAGTTTGGGCTCTGTAACTTTTCAGTCATAAAACACCAGGGAAGTAACTTAGTGGGTCTGTTTCTCACTGTAAAACAGATAACAACTCCTATCTCTTATATTTTGGTAACAAGCAGATGAGCTAATGGATACAGAATACATTTTACTCTGTGTAACACTAAGGGAGTAATCTGAAAGGTTTCTATGTTTCTTCCTTTCTTGCTAATAAACACTGTCTTTAGAAATCAAAGCACAAACTTCATTTCTTTGCCTTACTTCTTTCAAACACATTTTGTATTTGGATCTTGAGCCTGATGACACTGACTTTTCCTGATGCTTACTACCCTACAACTAGCTGAGTGTTGAAAAATTATATGTGTTTGGGTTACTACAGAGTTCATATAGAAAGTAAAGAGTTAAGTTAATTATAAAGAAAGAAAAGAGGTTTGATGCTTTCAATGTATCCATTTAGTAAAATATGATACCAAGATGTGCTGAAAGATCAGTTTAAATATTATCTCTGGGATGTGTGGAATCAGTATAAACTGAGAACAAAGGAGTTATTTCTTAATTTACCCTTCAATAGAAAGCTAAGCTAATCCTTAACCAAACACAAATCCTTGCTTAATCAGTTTGAATTTTATAGTTTAAGGGGCAAGACTGCTTGCTGAGCATAAACTTCTGCTGTAGAAATTAGTTAATCAGGGATCATATGATATTTCCATTGTATAGAATCAAGAAATTGTATAATAGACAAGAAATGAGTCAAGATTAGTTTTCAAACTCTACATCCTGTGTTGAGGATCCTTTTGAAGTCTCTCAAGTCCAGGGAAGAGACAGAGATAAAAAGGAGGTGGAAGGCAAGGGTTAGCTCCTCTACTAGACTTTCATTCAGAGCAACTCTGCTTTGAGTGTTTCATTTTCTTGGTTTTCACATGCAATATATTTTTTAAGAGCCATGTCAAAAACATTATATACTAAATCATGGTGGGTAAACCAAAATCTATATGATAGCAGAAAAGAATACTCCAGTCACCGACATGAAAGCCACAAAAATGGTATGAAAAATTTACATATGTATTACATTGAAAGCAGTTCACAAGGAAGTTTATCAAAGATGGAGAAGGAAGCATTTGAAGTGAAAATCTTTCAAAGGTGAACTTGATCTTGAAGATAATGAAGAACATGGATTAGAAAGTAGGGAGGAGAAACCGTTTTTCAGGTGGGAAAAGCAAACAAGAGATTAAATGAGAGTAGATTTCCTAAGTGACCACAGCCAAAAGACAGGAAGAGTAAAGCAGTCTTGCAAATTGAGTTTATATAAATGGTGAGGAAGAAAATCTAGAAGAAGATTAAAAACTGAAACAGGGAAAATATGCCTTCTGTTCTTGGGAAGCACAGATTATTCACATAGATTTAAAAATAGTTGAAAAAAGAAACACAGTGCCTGATCCTTGGTTTTTCAATGGCAAGGAAGGATTGTATTAAGTTACCCTCAACTATTCTACCTGGTCATCTCTTAGTGACTTAAAAGGAAACAAGGAACGATCATACTCAGTGGTTTCTGGGGGGACAAGATTGAGAATTCTTCCTATAAAGAAAACTTAACTGAAACCTAAGACCTTGCTGCCTAATTTTGAGAGTCGTGATGTAGGAATGGATTGAGCCAGGCGCAAACAGTTCTGTCAGTGTAGATGATTGATGGTGCAGGAACTCAGATTAAAGCTTTTTCCACACTTTCTATGCTCGAAGAACTTCATACTAGAAGTATGAACTCTCACAGCTCAGTAAGCTGTGAGCTACAATGGCTCACAATCATAATGGCTTTCCTACGTCTTTGCCTGGATAAGGTTGTCCCCAGAATAGGTTCTCTGATGTATATTAAGACTGGCACGGTAGCCAAAAACCTGCATTCACAGGGTTTATTGGCAGTGTGTGAGCTCCAGGGCAAAATGAGGTGAGTTTCAATTCTTATTCATTCCATTTATAGAGATTTCTGCCTATGTGAAGTCTGTGACCTAGGGAAGGACATTTACTCTGAGAAGATTCTTTGCCACATTATGTTCAAAAGATCTTTCTCTGGTATGAATTTGCACATAGTAAACAAGTTAAGTTTTCTGATTGACGTTCCCCCCCAAACTTTCAACATTTATATACTCTTCCCCTAGTGTGGATCAGATGTCAAATAAGATATTTATTACAGGTACTCAATATGCATTATACTCAGGTTTCTTCCCAGTGTGGATTATTTCATAATGCATTTTCTAGAACAGGCAATTTAGCCAAATTTATTCAAATTATGAGATTTTTCATCTCTTTGTACGGCAGGAACAAAGGACAGATTGAAATGAATTACAGGGCTGTGCCACCTGGCCATATCGGTCTTGTGCATTATTTACCTACAGGCACATTTTATGTAGTTCCAGCAGGGGGAAACTCCCTGTGGTTCCCTTAAGAATGACCTCTTGGTGCCAGCATCCAACCCCAGGGCCCATACAGGCCAGTATGCACATGCAATTTTAATTGGGGAAAAAAACCCACTCTATTCCTTAAAAAAGTACTCAAGAAATCAAGGAAAAAAATGGGTAAAACTCAACTGGATTCAGTGATCTTTTTCTCCTCCTACCATAAGACACTATATCTTTGAAATGTTGATTATTTGTCGTCAATAGCAGTCAGTAAATTTTGAAAAGAATACAATTTTGAAAGAATTAGTGATGATTTCAATTTGAAGGCCGTCAGTGTTAGAGCGTTTGCCTAACAAGCATGAGAAACTGGCTTCAATCCTAGTACTCAAATTTAGTGATGATATGGATTTTAGACTAAATAGATATTTGCTTGTGGATTTTTTTTTTTTTTTTTTTGGTACCAGGAATCGAACTTGCAACCACGTGCTTGCAAGGCAGATGCTGCTGAGCTAAATCCCCAGCCTTTACTAATGGAATTTAATGACCTATTTTTTATTTTGTTATTTAAAAATACATGCATGAGTCATATCAGGAATTTTAAGAGCAACAAAGTTGAAAGGCTAATTAATGAAACCCTATTTTTAGCAACACTTTTACATTTATACTAATAATAGTCCATTTTTTCTCTGATTATTGAGCTTATTTTCCTGTCTTCCAATTTCTCTTAAGTACCATTTTTTTGGGTGCATACATGAAACTTTAACCTCTTCAGTTTTAAATCTCACAATCAATAATTTTCCCTATTAGTGTCTTTCAACTTCAGGGGTTTTGAGAAGAGGATAACAAAGCTTAACAGGATCAAAGAAAAAAGAATGAATCTAAGCCATAGAATGGTGACTGAGAAAGCACCATGTGACAGAGGATTAGGAAAAGAAGGCTCAAGAGGTTGTGTCTGACAATGTCAGCGAGGGCTTCCCATGTATGAGTAAAATCACAACATAAATTATATGACTCACAGACACATGGGTACCAATAAATTTCAAATCAAATCAAAATGAAGATGTTGTAGCTAATGATTAATATTAGTGTAGGAGACAATGGTATATACATAATCTAAACAAAGCATGAAATTATTCAACTTTCCCACCTGGTCCATTCGTTTGTAACTCAATGGGAAATAGAGAATGTTCTATGAAGCAGGTCACCAAATGAACCATTTCGAATAAGTAAAATACAATCAATTTGGTGAGAAATACATCTTTGTTTTATTTTTCTAATGAACTAATAAATACTTTGTTTCCAAATCAGTACGCCACACAATGAAGCTGATACGATCCCAACTGGATATTGTGCGTCACATAGAAAACGTAGTGTGGGAGAAAATTAATTACTTTTCTCTTAAAATAATTGCAGTGTCAATCTATGATCTTTTAAGCCACTTCAGACATCTATGGTGAACTAAATAACGCAAAGCAGAATACTCCAGTGATTCACTGAGTAAACAGACTTACATCATGGTCAATCCCTTTTATACATAGTGCTGGGTTCAGTGGAAGACAACAAGTATTTATAGCTTGAAAGAATTCATTTAGTCTGCCAATCTCCTTTTTTAGAACCTCCTATGAAAAAAAGCATTAGAAACAAATGTTAAGAAACTGTAAAGCCTGACTCTTCTTTCAAGTTTTAATTTCTTCTGCTGCTGAAATGAGCTCTTTAATGGATGCAAGATTGCAGGAACTCGCGATGAGGCAGGTGATGTAGTCACCTAGGAGGAGGCAGGAACCTAAGAACATAAGGACTTCTGGGGAAAATAGGAAACAAAGAGCTGTGCTCTTTCTCAAGGACCTCAAAAATCAATTAAAAGCAAATACCAAGCAAAGCACTGTCTTGTTCAAACAAAACACAATGGGTTGGACTTAGCCTGTGGCCCACTGATTTGCAAATCCTGCTTTAAGTAATTATTAACATAACCCTTTTCTGGTAATTTCCTGAAATATGAGTTTAAACTCTCAACATTTGCCCTTAATGGTAATAGTGCATTTAAGAGAAATATTCACACGCTGGTAACTATAATGACAGTTTAGTCATTTTCCCACTGCTGAACACAATACCTGCCACCCACAGTTTAAAGGAGGAGAGTTTACTTTGGCCCATGACTTCAGCTCATTGTCTGCTGGGGTTCCAAGACAGAAAAAGGATGGCAGAGGTGCCTGGTGGAGGGAAAGTTTCTTAAGCCATCCCAGCCAGGGAACAGAAAGATGGAGGACCCTGAGAGAGAATAGACCCTTCCTGCTCTTCTCCTCACTGACCCACATCCAATCAGGATCTCTTTCCCGGAGGCACATGCAGCTACTGAAGGCCTGCATGCAAGAATCCACTAGATAGATATACCTTATAAATGGAATTTAATGACCTATTCTTATGTTGTTATTTAAAGATATATTTATGAATCATATCAGGAATTTTTAAGAGCATCTTGGTAGCAATAAAGTTAAAGGCTAACGATATCACATTTTTAGCAAAACTTTTTACATTTATGCTAATAATAATCTAATTTTTCTCTTAACTATCAAGCTTGTTTTCCTGTCTTCCAAGTTCATGTAAGTATCATTTTTTTGTTGCATGCATAATAAACTCTTCACTTTTAAATCTCATAAATCAATAATTTTTCCTATTAGTGTCTTTCAACTTCAGGGGTTTTGAGAAAGAGGATAACAAAGCTTAACAGGCTCAAAGAAGCCTCATGATTCAATCACCATCCATACACATGAAAACTTGGGAGGGGGGAGACATTTAGATCTAAATCATAACAATGACCAGAAATGACAGTTGCCTGATGCTGTCAGTAATGCACACGCAAAGAGTTTACTGGTTGATGACAAATACGTAATTCTGATATTTATTCTCTTCCATACTTCACTGAATCTGTGGAAAATCAGAGACCCCCAAATCTTAAGTGTGTACTTTGACAAAAGAAGTAAACCATCAAAATTCATTGAGAAATATCAAAAGTGTTTTTAGCCTAATTTTGAAAAGTAACCCTAATGCTAAAAATGAGGATATCAGATTAATAACATTAGCTAACACTTGAAAATTTATTTCTTATTCCTACTCTTGGGTCACTGATAAATAAGAGAATCCTCTGTTCCCAGAACCCAGAAGAGCATGATGCCAAGTGGCACTGACGCCCTTTTTCTGTAGCTGTACCCTGGGCTTATCTATGCATGAGTTTGCCTGCTAATTATTGTGGAGGAAAATCTCTGCCCCTCTTGTTCATGTAAAAACCTTTTCTCCATATTGTAGAGTTAGGTTTAATTTAGTGATTTTTCTTTTAAGTAGAACAAAAGATTAGCTATCAATAATTTAAATTGTAAGGATTTATAAATTCCTCCTTTATCTTCTCTTTTGCTTCTTTTCTCTCCCAATTTTCAAATAAATAGATGTTTTCACAAAAACTGCCACTTAAGGCAGGAGAAATACATTTATCTGAGTGAATAATATCAGTATCACTCAAAACTTATGACAAATTGCCAAAAAGTCACTAGAATTATTTAATCATAGTGTATATCTTGGATTTGTGAAGGATGTTCTTAAATTAACACATAAATTATGCAAATTAATGGGTTTCACTATGACATTTCTATATATGGTGGGTTGAGCATGTCTAACCTATGTGTGAGATTTAAAACGTAAGAGATAAAGATCAAACTTACATATAGACTCCTGCAAATTTAAAACTGATTTATTTTACTTTCTACCAACTTTTTTTTACCACCACTAGAAAATAACTCACATGCTTGCAAACAAAAGGAATAAATGTTAGATTTTTTAAAATTTACATTGCCCATCACATCATATACCTTACAATTTCTCCCTGTACCCAACATTTATACATTTCCCATTCAAAAATATATTTCAGGCTTAAATTTTTTTGTTTTCCAATTTCTCCTGTGGGTTCTTTTATTTTCTGCTCCCATAAGGAGTTGCATAGCTTTTGATATATCTATTAAAGGAAGTGACTTATAGTTAAGAAAAATTCTAGTTTTGAAAGAATCCTAGAATACTTTACTATTACCATTTTCATATCATTTGGTCAAAAATTCCTGTTGATTTTAAACAGTGAAGAGAAACTATGATTTCCCTTGAGCATAAGACTGATGTTAAAGACGCCTTCCTATCCTTCTAGTGGATAGTAAGTACTCAGTTGTGCTTACTCTTAACACAATGGATGGTTGTCCACTATCTCCTTGCATGTAGAATGCTGAATTTAAGAGAATGTACTTAATGGTGTGTATCAGTGAAGAGAGCTAATGATGCAGATAATTAAAAACACAAAATGTTCTATTAGACCAAGAAAAAGAATAGCCAGTTCGACTATTATACAATTAGTGAGATAAAGCCACACTATATTGGTTACCACACATGGATCTTAGTCTACAATTATTACTTTCCATACAGCATTGATTAGTGTGATTTCCTGTAGTTTATTTTAAAAATAAAAGTTTTAGAAGTATGAGTTGAGCTATAGCAATATTAGGAAAATCAAGACCTAGATTTTATACCTTGCCCAATGAGTCTGATATGTGTTTTTGTAATTTTAAGATTACACAAAAGGATCAAGAAATGATACAGATGCATTGTGTATTATAAACACACTAATAAAAATAGGAAAAATAAATTAAGTTCTTAAAAAATTTTATTACTAGGTCTTTTGTGATCAAATTGTCTTTAAATTGGTTTCTTCATTTTTCTCTCATTATGTCCTCTTCGTGTGCTATATAGCTACGTGCATCAAAAAAGCATGTCCTGGTGATAGGCATTGTCATTAATGTTAGGGAAGTTAATGGGAAAAAGACTTGATTATAATTGACTTAAAAATCTTACATTTAAGTATAGTCAATGAGTTTGCTTTCTAAGCTATAAAATTAAAACTTAAATGGACTAAAATTTAAAGAAATTTTTCACGATGTCAAGATGGATTTCGGAACAAACCTGTCTGTGAGGATCACTGGCAGACTTGACTTTTTCCCCAATGTCTCTCAGAATTTTGATAAGTTTCTTCTCCTTGGAAAATTCATCGTTCAAGGCTTTTCCTACACAGAATTGGAGAGCAGCCAGCAACTTCTGATACCAACTTTTAAAATAAGCTTCATTTTGTGCATCTTTTAGCAGCCTGAAGGGAAAATAAAAGAGAATTCTTTATTCTAAAGCCAATGTTTTAACTGCTTCCAGCAGGAACAGTATGTGTATTTCAGACTGACCGGTATTTGGTGGTTTGGGGCAGTTTAACAGCTAAGAATGGTGAAAATGTTGTTTATTTGTTGGCAGCCATCAAATTTCATCTGATAGCTAATGAGATTCCAAGAGGGAGAGATCAATAAGAGGCCTTGCCTTTTCTCATTTCAAGTCTCAATGCACTTTTTGTTTGGTTAGTCTTCTTAATTCAGTAGTGAATACTTCTCTCAAGAGCACCTGTAACTTATTAAAATATTTACAAAGAATTTTTTTGAAAAGTGATGATGCTGCATTGTGATTAACCATCAAGTCCACTAGTTTCTTCTTTTTAAAAATTGTAATATCTCCACACTGTCTTTTTCCCCCTGCACTTCCTGTGGGGAACCTGGAGGAACATATTGTAAAGGCAGGAACATCTCTCACTGCTAGACATTTTTGGACCCATTTCCCAGTACAACTTACAAGTTACTTAGTTGAGTTAAGATATTTCTTTATTTGTAAAATGAGATAAAAATCTGACTCTGTAGAGCTTTGTAATACATAAGTTGAGCTAACATATTTGAGAATGTTCAGCACAATGTAAGTTAAGTACTAGGCATTAAAAAATCATTAGTCCATCTGTATCTTGCAGCCTCCCCAAGTCAATCCTAGTCCGTCTGGAAGTCTGCCTTTGCCATCTAAACGGAAGCCATAGAGCCCTGGAAGTAAGGAAATTTGTAGAATAGTGGGGCAGGAACAACTATTTGATTACTCTGCTTGCCCTGTGAGAATTTTTGTTGCCTTGAAAACCATTACAGTATGCTAAAACTTTACCTTCTATTATGCCCTACAATACTGACACAGAACTAATACTGACAGAGAGCTAATTCCTTGAATTTTAACTTCTCTCAGACTGATTCTTCTAATCTTAATTATATCTCTAGTTTTCTCTGTCTCTGAAAAATAGCATTCAAGAAACTAGAAGAAAACTATGAGAATGGAATACTGGGGGTGTGGGGTTGTTGGGGAGTAGTAGCCAAACATGTATGTTTCATTTTGCATTTATAATTTCATCTTTGCCTTTTATGTATTATGTTAGGGAGTCTAAAAAGATACACTATTCTTATTTTTTCAATGTTTTCCGTTCAGTCACATTCAAGTTTAACACATAGATGAATGAGTTCATGTTAAAAAGTGAATGACATCTTTATGAAGCCAACTTACTTAAGCAACTCTTTTAATGTGAACTTTGTGCAAAATAACAGTGCTTACATTCTTGTGAAAACTATAACAGCGCTTATATACTTGTGTAAAATATAAAACACAAATATGCACAAACCTTCAGAGAACTAATTATATCATGACAGGAAAATACATTCTCTTGATATCTGATATTCTTTTGATGCTCCCTGATTTATTTAATGGAAGAGGAAGAGTTGATTATGCAGTTTCCTATTCACCACATGATATGATATTTTAAAATGTTAAGTATGTAATAAAGAAATCACGTGTAATAAAGAAATTGAATCATTACTGGATGACCTAAAGAAAATATATTTTCTATGCTTGTAAATGTAAAGCTGCGAAGGCAAACATGCACATACAAAATCGAAGATATTTTAGGTAGTATCATGTACAGATCAGATTCTCACAGCACCTTCAGGACTATTTTGCAACTTACGTATGTTTCAATGAAATAGAGACTGAATGGATGCCACATGCCTATATCTCAATCAATATGAGCATTTTCATACACATTGAACATTGTTATTTGTTTTTTGAAATACTTTTAACTGGTCTAATACATGAGTATAACTCTCCAACTACTCAATGGGTATACATACAATTAAAATAAAAATAAATTTTTCTGTACAGATGAAACTCATAACTCTTTACTAGAAATGAAAGAAAAGATATATTTATATTTGATGTCATCTGGACCACCAGATCTACATAATTTGTGTTTATAATACTCTTGTTTCTTATTATATTAGTGACAAATTTGTTTCAGTCACTAGTAATGTACTTGCTTCTCTCTGTCTCATGGGGAAAAACTGTTTGATTCTTTATTCAAAATAAAACAGAGCATGGAAGATTTGCAGAAAGAATAAGTGATCAGGCTCTAAAAAGCATAAAAGCTAAGAAAATTCAGTGTATTCTGTTGTGATTGTCTTCCTGGAGAACATACCTCACTCAAATGCTATGTTTCTTCCAAGGTTGCATGTCATCCAGGTGAGACCTGGTTCAAGTTCTATGCCTTTTTGCTCAACATGTAAAGACTTTGTTTTCATGCATTGCAGAGCTGGAATCATACAATACTAAAGGTGAGCATGAGAAGTCACTTATTCTATTCTTGCACCCTTAGCATAGATCCTTTTACTGATAAGAGAAATTAACATAGCCCTCAATTTTCAGCAGCTTCAGAGAGAGCTGGGCTATTGAGTTTTGGTGAAGGGTTTCTTAGCTTTGTATCAATGACCTTCAGTATAAGGGAGTGGAAAGTCTCTCATGCTGTGCTTTTACCCATCACTGCCTTTATTTGTTAGCCTCTAGAAAACAGCAGGCCACTATCCTTTGAGCATTGCAGAAATCTTTTCAAAAGACACTGTACCCTGAGAGAAGCAGTACTGCTTGTAAGGTATAAAATGTCTAAAAATAGAAAGTTAAGGTCAAAGTCCTGGGATGTACCATGCAAGAATTGCCATTAAAAGGCTGATCATTTAAAATTAAGGTAATACGATTATGTGCAAGCTGTGAGTTAAATCTTAAAATTTCAGAGACCTGCTTATCCTAATGTCTGCAAAGTCCAGCTGTGATTCACTTTGATATTATTTTGTACACCTGCCTCAGTGTCTCACAGACTGTGAGCAATGATAACATTAAAATAAAAACAAAGGCACCAAATCTTGATCAGTAAAGACTTTGATAGTGTCAGGTCTAATAGAAAGAAAGAGCAAAGACAGCAGAACTCACGACTGACCACATTTCTCATGAAGGTATTTGCATAAATTAAGTGGATTTGGAGACACCTAAGATTGTCACAAGTCTCAGCTAGCACAAAAATGGAAATTTCCCTTGGAAACTACAGATTTTTTACATTTCTACATGCATATAACTGCTTCTAGACGTTTGACTGACTTGTGAGAGCCCCGGGAGCAGTCTAGATAGTTCATATGCCAGCAGGACAGAGCAGAGTAATCACACCATCCCAGCTCTCTTTTCTTCATAAATCCCTCCAGTCTTGCTCTTAATTTTAGTTCTCAACAGTGCAATATCCCACATTGTAGATTCTGCCTAACACTTCTGAATTTCATGTGGGAGAAGAGGAGAAACAACATCTGGTAGCAGGAAAGAACTGAGCTACACAATGAAGATGAGTGATTTCTGGTCACGCCAGGATTTCCTTTTCCCATTTCCTCTTTTATTTGTTTATTACTTTATGTGGGTCGAGGTGTGTGAAACTGGAGACCAATGTTTAGTGACAAGAGGATTCTAGAATGTAACTTCTGCAAGTATACTTAGAATCATAGGACAGATAAAGGATGAAATCCAATGCTTAATATGGAATTCATTTTAAGATTTCAATAGTGTAATTAAGAAATAAATAGCCTGTGTCTTTAGCATTAGCGACTTTACTTCTAAATGACTTAGAGATTTAATATTTCTCTTAACTGAGGAACTTGATATATTATACGTTCCTAATAAAGACAATAATGATTAGCCCACTACTTCTGTTAAATTTTGCATAGCAGGAGCATTACATGAGCCAAGGAAGATATGTGATTTCCAATCAATTTTTATTTTGCAATATTTATCACTAAATCACTTTATAGCAGCTCAAATATAAAATTATTTACAAAAGGAATAAATACAAAAGAACTAAGTCTACACTCTAAAGATCGCATACATTCTTAGAATGTGTAAATATAAAAGAGGGGCCATGAGGAGTGTAACTCATTATGTTATATGCATATCATTAATTCACACAGCTAATAATTATTACTATCCCCAAAGTAATCTCTTTAGAATATTATATGCACATAGCTTTCACATTCCCACTGTGCCCAAACTTTACACTAGATTTAACTGTTTTTTTCCAACTCTGTACTTTCCCTTCTGAAGCTATGACACTCTCATCCTTGTCAAGTGATTTCCAGTGCATCCTTGTGGGCAGGCTAGACTTTCAGTCTACTGCAGTTTGACTATGGGATCTGCCTTGGTCAGTAGAACGGGACTAGAAAAAATGCATACTCATGCCCCTGAAGATGCTTTAAATGTGTTATCATGGCATCTTCTATCTCTGTTTGGGGCCATGAGGACAGCTAAATTCTGTCCTGTCCTGAGAGAACTAAGCAGATGAGAGGCAAGCTTTGATGTCCAGATTCAGGCAGAGCCAAGTAGACTAGCAAGGTTTCAGGCTGAGGGTCACATGTCTGGGAAACAGATCTTGGCTCCTGTAAGCCACTGACGCTTTGGGGTTGTTTCTTATTATCATAAAAATTGATAAAGATGCGCAATTTCACATTTTTCTTTGTTTTTGTTATTACTTGTTCAATTATCTTTAGAATATGGAGAATATTTTTAAACATCTTCAATGGTAGCCCTGAGGATAACTTGGGGCAAACTTAATTAATAAAAATAAACAAAAATCATGTGGAATGAGTCCTATGATTAGCAGAGTGATTAATTTGAGTCTAATTTTTCAGATTAAAAAAGAAAATAATGAAAGCAATAAAAATAGATTTTTTTCAACGGATCATAAATAGTTCCAGGAGGTATTTTAAAAATAATTAGATTCAGCTCATTTGAACATGTATATTCTCTTATATTGCTGAAATTATTGCTATTTTATTACTATGAACGTAGTCTTTGACTCATTCAGAAGTCTGAATAGGCCTATGTACCATCTGCTGCTTCATCCAGCCAAATGTTTGTGCATGGGATAAAAGATTCTTTCTC